AGCCAGCATTAGGTTTCGAACATTATCAAATGCCATTTTGACATATATTGGTCTCTTTCTTATATGTACTAGAGTTTTCATAAACCATACTGTTCTTAAGATCTACAAAAGAAAATTTCCTAAATGTCCATCAATTAGGAACAGATAATTAAATGGCGGGGGATTCACACAATGGAATGCTATATGGCCATGAAAATGAGTGACTTATTCTGCTACTGCACGGAACAATATGGGTGAATCTCATAAATATAATGTTGAATAGAAGGAACCGGGCAAAAATCAAATCTGCTATACGATCCCATTTATATGAAGTACAAATGCAGGTACATGTGTCATCGATGGTGTCAGAAGCGGTAGTCATGACTGAACAGGAACAGGAGGTGGACCCCTGGAGTGCTGCTAACTTCTGTTTCTTGATCTGTTTCTGATGCTGTTACGTGGATGGGTTCAGTTTGTTAGAATCTGACTGCATAATAGAGGGAAGTGAGGACCATTGTGGAGGGCAGGGGGTGAACTTCCATCGAAAGGTAAAAGGTAAAAGTTCCAACTAATTGCTGCAGCTCAGGAATATAATATGAAGAAGGCAGAAGTCTGGATTTTTACATGATATCTCCCCTTTAAATATTTCTTTTTAAAAATTAAAACCAAACACAAACAAAAAACACTGTATCAGCCAAACACAGTGTGTCTGAGGGCCAGACTTAGCTTATGGAGCCCAAACTTGCAGCCTCTGTTTAGAATTTAGCAGGGTCAGGCAAACCCCAGCTGATTAAAAGCTGATCAGCTCCTCTGGGGGATTTGCTTTTCTTCCTGCTGGAGATGCTGTGCAGATATGGCAGAAAAGGGTCACTTACTAAAGTGCCAAGCTTTCATTGTTACTTCCACATATGCCCCGCCCCCCCCCCCCCCCCGTAAAATGTGGGAGAAAGGGGTGAAAGAGAAGTTTTGGGTCCCTCTAAAGACCACCACCATCCTGTAATGTTCTATAATGTCCTCGCTCAGAAACTGCTGCTCATTCGTGGTTTGGTTTCTCAAGGAAGCAGGACAGAAAAAAAGAGACAGCACTTGAAATAGAATGGAATCTGCCACAGTGGGGCAGTATAATTCCATCCTGCCCACAATCCCTAACCACCTGGGCTTCCCAAATCCCAGCCCCAGATCCCTGAAGAGGAGTCTTATGCAACGCAGGCAGAGAGGGAGAGGTTATAGAAGGCAGAGAATGCATTTGGGACACTATGATCTCTGGTTTAGGACATAAATTGAACTTGAAAATAGCTAGATCCATATTTTGAGAAAAGATCAAGAGGGAAGTTCAACAAAAGAGGAAAATGTATTATCAAGGATCTCATTGGTGTTTTTCCCTTGGGGATTTCAACATGGGTAGTTTTCCTTTATGAGTTAGCCAGGTAAACATCTGGTCACTGACGCTGCTGTGCTTTAGAAACAATCGAAGTTAAATCTGCTTTTATCAGCAGCAAACATCCAGTGTCTTTTTTTCTATTCACGAGAGGGGAGAACCGAATCAATAGACTCGAGCCACAAAAGGATGATTCCAAAAGTGTGCTGTTGGGTGACTATTTTGGAAGTTAGGATGCATTTTTTTTTTTGCACAGAAACCAAGTGATATCTAAGGATTAAGTTTCCATAAACAGGTCAAGAGAAACTATTTGACCCAGAATGAAACTAAAATATTATTTTTACAATTAAGAAGAATAGAAAATAACACGTCCTGAGAAAGAATAACTAAGAACACAGCAAACAAGGTGAACCATTCAGCATCACTTATTAAATATTTGCTTTGTGCAAGATGCAGTTGATCTGAATTTGTTGTTTGGAAGATCAGCACTAGCAGGTTTAGTGGGGAGGGGGGGACAAACCCCCATGAAAGTGGGTGAAGAGGAAAAGGAAGAGAGAAAGTAGAACCAAGTGAGTTTGTTCCTTCGAAGACCTTGATGGGGGAAAGGGAGAATGCTGTCGTGATAAGAGGGGAAGAATGCAGGACCAAGGAAGACAGAGGGAGAGGCAAAAATACAAGCCAAAGGGGGCAGAATTGATGGACCTTGCTATGTTCTTGTAGCAAGCAGTATTAGTTGCTCTCTGCTAATCAATCTTTGCCTATCTTAGTAAGAGTACCTTGATTTTTTTTTATGTTTATTTATTGATTTTGACAGAGACAGAGAGAGAGAGAAGCGGGGAAGGGGCAGAGAAAGAGGGAAAGAGAATCCCAAGCAGACTCTGAGATGTCAGCGCAGAGCCCTATGTGGAACTCAAACTCACAAAACGTGAGATCATGACCTGAGCCAAAATCAAGAGTCAGCTACTTAACCCACTGAGCCACCCAGGCGCCCCAAGAGCACCTTGATTTTAGTCAGGAAACCAATGCACTTAGCTAAAAGACTATTTTCCATCACCCCTTGCAGCCAGATGTGGCCTTATTGATAAGGTCTGGCCAATGAGACAGAAGTAGAAATTTCAGGTGGGACACTTAGGGAGATTGCTGATTCGGCCAGGAGAAAGCCCTCTTGTCCTTCCTACAGTTGAAACATATAAATGTGAAACACATACTTCTCACACATTATCTGAGCATGTGCCAAAGTGTAATTGATTCATTAATGAGGGGAGCCAACAAGGTGACAAAGCTGGCTCAGTAGGGAAAAAAGAAATCCTGAAATAAGAATGCTAAGTTAGATAGAAAGTGGCAAATGTTCTTCAAGGTAATAAAACCATCTCTCCTGAGAAAACCTCATTTGCATCTTGCCCATTTTTAACAAATTAACGTCTAATTTTAGACTCTGAACCCTAATCAGCAGCAATGAAAGAGTAAGCCATTCACCAAGTGAGAAGACCCTAGGGGGAACGTGACAATGCTCTAGGATGACAGCGACAGGACCCACAGTCACCCTTTTGCTTTATTTCCAAGTTCTGGACACTTTTCCTGAACACCACCTTCTTTCTGCCTGCTGTCTGAAATGTGGGTGCAGTGGCTGGAGCTACAGCAGCCACGAGGAGGAAGCCAGGAAGTACAATGGCAGGGCAGAAAGGGAAAAGGAGCCTGGGTCCCTGATGACTGTGCAGTCACTAAAACAACCCTGCACCACCTACTCCTGACTTCTTTTTGGGGGGGAGGGGTGATAAGCTTCTCTCTCATTTAAGCCATCGCTTCTCTTATCTGTGGCCAAGCTCTGTCTTCTAATGGGCCAAGAGGCAGACGTCTAGGGGCAGAAATAATTATTTAAATAATGCTGGCAATCCCGTGGACCACTGCACTCTGAGGCTGTCTACAGGCAGGAAGCCTCTTAGTAAAACGTACCAAAAAAGGCCTGGGTGATTTAGGGGGTTCCGGAGCGCACACAAATAATGAAATGTATTGTTCATCCCAGTGGGTAGTGATGGCTTTCCTACAACCTTGAAGAAGAAACTGAAGATCTAACTCGGGACTAGAGAGGCACTAATAAATGTATCCACAAAAACTTGGATGGTGACACCAAAGGAGAAGTCAGAATATTCACAAATGTGCTCAAATGTCCCAAAAAGCGTACTGCATTACTCAATACAACCCCCCCCCCCTTTGGACTTTCATGCTTTATTACCATATACCTTGTGCAGTACACATGCCTTACACCTATATATTACTTTTGCTTGATACACTCATACTTCTATATTACCCTACAGAACCGCATTCCCACAGCCCTATCTGACATACTGTGATGCGTGATTTGAGAAACCTACTAGGATAATTTTGACTCTGTGTGACGCTTGCCTGTGTGCTGACGCAAGAATCTAAACTCCACCTTAAGATGGGATTCCACCCTAGAGAAGCTGAAAGGGGCTCTGATCAAGATTGGTGGAGAGACAAGCTTTAAAACTGGAGAGAAGGAGGGAAATGTAGACACAGATAAATGTGTTGTTTAGGAAGTGGGGAACGAAGCAAGCTCTTCTAGATGGGTCTGGGAATTGAGTGAGGACTTGTGAGACCATAAGCAAAGAGACGTGCCTAAACCTCACACGGGACTTGGCTTCAGCTTGGCATTCTCTCCCTCTTCCTCTGTTTCCCCCACCCAGTCGGGGGGCCGGGGTAGGGTGGAGCGGGGCGGGGGGGGGGGGGGGGGGGGGGGGGGG